GAATGCTTTTATTTCTAGCATCGTGACGTGGGTTCGGTGATCTTGGAAGTTTCAAACCCATGTATAACTTCTTGGACATCAGTAAATATCTAGGAGGATCTAAATCTCCTGAATAATAGTGAGAGTCCTGACAGGGGCTGTGATGTCCACCTACGACAGCACATGCAAATGCTGGGTTTTTTATTTTGCAGGGTTAAGGGTACTTTAACACAACCAAAAGAGAAAAGAAAAAGGCTAATGTCCTATACATTGAAGTCAGTTTTCCAAAGTTGTTTGTACTGACATTTTTTTTTTCTCTTGCTCCCATCTGAGCCTGTTTTTCAGTGATTGCAGGGAGCTAATCCAGGTGTGTTGGCTGGGGAGGGAGGTGGCTGTCTCCTTCTAGTGGTAAATCTTTAACTCTGTGTGCAGCTTGGAGGAGGGCTTGGTAGGGAGGGCTGTGCCAGTTGCAGACAGTAGAATTTGCACATAATCGCTCTGATTTCCCCCCCCAGTCTTAAAGTTTTAGTGGGCTGGTGCAGGTTGGTGGAGAGAAATGTATCAGTGACAGACACGTGGAATGGGTACGAAAGGAGGGGAGCTTTGATGATTGCTTTTCAACAGAATTTGAGATACGAATGAGCTTGCTCTAACTATAAAACATGTGAAAAGGCTGTTGGGACACTGCAGTGTGTGGAGTGGCATGCTGCTTTTTTAATCCCTAAATACTAAGATTCAGTTTTTTTCCCTAGCATAATGAAGGGGGTGAGAAATGTGCAGGAAAGATGCAAAGCAAACCAAAAAGATAAACAGTTTCTTCTGATGGTGTTTTCTTGACCTGTAGAAGGAAGGGTGATTATAGAAACTTGGAAATTTTATAGTTAGGCTAAAATGCCCTTGTAAAAGTTTCCTGGAGAAGAGTTGTATGTGTTACTGCTTGTTGGGTTACCTTTTGGGGTCTGAATTTTTACACTTCCATCTTCTTTGTTAGAGCTGGGTGTGAAAAATGATAGTTCAGCAATCTTCTGCTGGGAAACTGCCCTAGGATTTGACATTTTGCCTCTGTAGTCTTTGGGAACATTCCTTGATAGACTTTTCTTCCCTAATCCTGTTATTTCTTCAGTGTGTCTCCATCTTACTTTATTGTGTTTGCTACAGTTTAGGACTATGGCTCCATGGCTGACTTGCGAATGGAATGTGTTCCTTGTATTCCTGAATTCGGGAAATTGCTTAATTAATCACTTGATGATCTAACAGCATAGTTAAAAGAACAGGGCTTAAAGTTAGTTCTTTGTTCTGTCACACAGATTTACTGTGTGACATTGGAAGGGGATAGCTTGGTGTTGGGCTTTTCTTCCTGCTGTAGTATGTGATTTGGTGTTTTGTGAAGCGGTTAGAGGCCTACAGCCGGAAGGGAACACAGAAATGCTAGTGGTTTTTTTATTATTATTAAATAATGCTCAGGTAACCTCACCTGACTATGTTTTAGTTGTGCATTACTTCTCTGCTTCAGCTTGAAAAGCACCAAGTACTGAATAACAATCTGAAACTTAATTGGGAAAAAAACAACCAAACAAGAACCCCCTCCCCCCCAAACCTGTAACTACCCCCAACATCTCAAAAACAAAGAAAAAAAACCCTAAACCCAAACCCCAAAACAGAGCTGCCAGCACAGCATGCATATTTGACATCTGCACCGAGAAAGCTGGGGTTTTTTTAAGGAGAAAACCAAAATGTTAGAGCCTGTTTTCCAACATCTAATTTTATGATAGTGTGTGTATTATTTTATCTTGTGTTGTTTTGGCATTGGATAGGTTGTGTTTACAAGTCAATTGTTGGCAGTGAGAAGGAAGGGCACTATCGCACTCTCTTAATTAGAGTGAAGCTAAATATGATTACTTTTCTTGAACCTAGTAAGAAATACGGACCTCTCTTCCATGTTGAACATGGATCTGTGTACCAGTTAGCTTTGTTAGATAAAATAGACTGATTCCTTTGCATTGCTCCTTTCTAAATAAGAATTGCATGGTTTCAAAGTCCTTAAAAAAACCCAAACAAGTTACATACAGTTGTCTCAAAAATATGTAAAGCCCTTAATAGGAAGAAAGATTTTTTTGGGTCTTTTTCGTGGAACTTCTGTTTTTCTTTTCTTCTCTTTAGAGGATCTCAAATTACGTAAGAATTAAAAAAAAAAAAAAAAAAAAAAAAAGGCAAGGAAGGGAATCTATTTGGAATTGTAGTTGAAATCTGCACCAGCTTTCTCAGAGGTTGATGTGGACACTGAATTCTGGAATTACAGAGGACTCTGTTTGACATGATAAGGGGAAAAGGCATTTCCATAATTTCTGAGGCTTTTCACGAGAAGACAGAAAGGAAGGGGAAATGCTGATGAATGATACTTACATTGCTGCTTTAGTATTCCTGGCCCAGGAGTTTGCAGTGGAGCCTTCATTTTTGCCAGGGAGAAATCCGAGGTACCTGTGTACAAAAATAGTCAGTTCTTGTACTCCCCTGTGTTTCCCGTGAGTTGGATCCCCTCTGCTCTGCAAGGCCGGGGTCTGTGATGATGGAGAAATCTTAGCTATTTTTCCTAAAGGCTTTGCTTCCTCTAGACTCCTTTCTCCTTCTGGAAAATCTGCTACTAATATAACAAGTAATTCTATGGCACTTTCTACTTAAGTGTGTCTAATAAATTTAGCTCATTAGCACCCTGGTATAATGAAGAGTTGTTAGTAGCAGCCATCTGTAAAATGGAGATAGGGCCTCTAAATTTGGTTGACAGATCTTAAATAGGGAAGGGAGATCTGTGTTGTGATTTACCACCTACGCTTCCAGTCATTGCATTGCCCTTCTCTTCTTGAGTGCTTACTCACATGCAAAACCTGCGTGCAGCTAATAAGACACTTGAAATTCTTCTTTGGGTTTCATAAATGTGTGATTTTTAGAGAATTTGATTGAGGAAACTGGTAACACTGCGGAAGGCAGATTGCCGTCTAGTTGTGTGTCAATGGGAATAATGAATGTCAGGTGCTAACTAAAGCATGAAATGTGTGGTATAAAGTAGCGAAGCTTTCTGTTTCAGTTGTTCTCTGGAAAAGTTTCTCTGCTCCTTTCAGTCCAAAGGCTACCTGGCTTGGTACCACCCCCCCACCCCACCCCCATTATGCAGTGTCTTCATAGTTTTTTTTCCTTTACAACCAAACAAAAATTAGGCTGTGCTTTGAATGCTTCTTTAAACTTTTCTTTCTTGTCGTCTTCTTGTCTGCTTGTTTGCATATGTAGGCTTATGTGTATTCTTTTTAACTTTTATATCAAATTGTTTTCAGTTATACCAGGCCACTTCCTGGTATCTTATTGACAACAGATTGAGAAACTGCTGGGGCAAAAGGCTAGACTGCACAAAAAAGCTGATTTTATTTTGTCTGCTTCCATGTGTTCCAGGGGACCATTCCATACCTCATTTCTGTATTCACTTACTGCTCTATGTATATAAACTTTACTAGATAATGATCTGCTGAAACCAAAGGGAGTGTTTTCAGAATTAGCTGTTCTCTAGCAGAGAGTGCGTGATGGGAAGCATTAAGTGTTTTGTTACAATGCATGTAAATCCTTTCACTGGTTGAACACAGGAGCTCATACCAATGAGTTCCCGTATTATCTGCCATTCCTGGCTGGGGCTCTTGAAGCTGTTCCTGAACTGACTCTTTAGTAAGAAGAATAAAAAATGGGCTGAAGAATAGCTTCAGCATATATTGCTTTGCAGGGTTATGCTGCCATAAGTGTTTTCTAAAACGGGTTAACAGCTGTTCCAAAGTCATCTTATTGTGTTCTCAGACCAGCGTTTGAGGGTGTAAATTCACCCTGAGTGGCTGTCTTGTTGATATGAAACACGCTGAGATTATTAATTAAGAAGTAATTATTCAAACTTGTTTTATGGTTGTCTGATTTATAGGATTTCACACATTCAGACAAGGTTGAGATCTAAAGAAGCTACAGAATATTTTGGGAAGAGCCAAGCGTGTGAACTGCTGATAAAGAGAAGGTGTTTCCTGTGGGTGAATTTTGGAAAGTGAATTTAGAGAATCACTTGACGAAAATTGGCAAAGTATTACAAATGAAAGGAGCAACATGACTGAATTGTCAAAGGAACGCTGAGTCTTGTCTAGATCTCTCCATGGGGCTTCGCTCGGTAGTTGTCTTACGGGGTAATGTAGGTTCAGATCATGCTAATGAACCTGAGAGTCCTTCTCAACATCAGCTTGGCTGGTCATGCTGCAGGTTCCAGGACTTACAGATGAAATACTGAAGGATTCATGGTTCATCCCATAAATCTTTTCTCCTGCTACCTGTCTTTTGCCGCTGGGAGTTTCAGTAGCTTATCAGACGGTGCTGAGCCCCAGTTTAGCGAATGGTTTGTGCCGTTAAAGTCCCGCTTTGTTCATCGGCCAGGCGGAAGATAGAGAACAGGGAGAGTGATTCAGTAGGCAGGAGGAGTGTTGTATTAGTACAGATTGGCACTGCTCTTGGGGAAATAGGTGCGTTGCGTTTTGGCTAGCCCCTCTCTGGGAGGCTAGCTCGCTGTGACTGCCTCTGCTGCGTGAGCCAGTGGTTTAGCAACACAGAGGACTTGTGGAATTGTGTGTAAGGGTGTGTGTATGCATTGGAGGAATAGCAAAATCTCCTGTGTCATGTTGTGTTTCACTTAAGTGTCTTGAGCAATTAAAACCAGGAATTACAGGGGTGTGTACCCAGAGAACCGCTGCTCTGGAGAGTGAGGCTGTCCTGTGCTTTCTGTGGTTCTTTTTGTATGTATTTTTGACCCTCTTGACAGTGTGGTTTACTATACCGTGCTGCCCCATCATGGGTCAGCTGGATGATGATTTTTTTTCTACACTAGAAAATCTTTTCCCTTGCTATCTGTATTCTGAATTTTCTTTCCTCCTTTCCTTCTCAGTTCAGCATCTGTCTGAAAAGTGGATATACAGATACGTTATCATTTTATCCAGCAGTATCCCGTGTCAACATTGAATTAGCCTGCATTATCTTACCACAAATTTCTGGCAGGTAACTGGAACTTTTTAGAAGCTGCTACATAGGTGGGGTTAGTAGGTGATACTAGTCTATTAAAGCAGAGGTGTTAAGACTTGCTTCTCTGAGTCACGTTAGCAGGAATCTGAAGCCTGATGAGACATGTGGGATAAGGTCATTTGTCCTGGCTTTGGTTTGGTTTCCTTAAGCCATTTTACAGAATAAAGAACGAAGTGTCTATTCTGAAGCTGTAATCTCCAATTCCGCAGATACACCTTTTTTTCCCCCATCTATCAGGGCCTAGAGCCCATGAAGGAACAGGTGGGAAATCCTTATCAGGAGGAGGTCAGGGCTTTCAAGTTAAGTGTATGAGTTCTTATCTGCCCTGAATTAATTTCTTACATGGTTATCAACTTTTTGAACTATGTATCAACGCTTAAAGAAACGGTTCTTGCTTCTGTGGTGTTACTGTCTTTTTGTGTTCTCAAAATTTTAGGTATATTTAAGAAGGGGTGTAACTTCTGCACAATGGCAAGGCAGGGATGATTAATACTGCCTAGCTTTTCTAGGTAACTTTTCATCAGTGAATTCGACTTGCTTTGCAAAAGAGCTCGCTAACAGTATCGCTCTTAGGCATATACAGAGAGGAGGCAACCCATCTGTTCCATCCTGGAGAACAGAACTCAGGTGTAGGTTGAATAGATTCCAGGGTTATATCTACATTTTCCACACTGTTTCTTATGTGTGAAATGGATAGGAAAAAAAAAAAGGGTTGCTTTGAAAAACAATGTAAGCTTAGTTTACAGTCGCATAATTATATATAGTTATGAAGTCAAGTTGAGATAATGGGCTGCAGTCAGCCATCTGATGAGAGAGCACTCTGAATCATCTATGCCCCTTCTTTGATGTAGTTTGTCCTCCAGGGCCATATTCTTAAGAGCCATCTTTTTTCACTTTTGCATCTGGCTGAGAATCAGTTAGAACCTGTCTGTCCAAAGCTGTCCAGCTATGGTTGAATTCCCTGTAAAAAGATGTTTGCTTTTCAGTGGCAAGCAGTGGAATAGCTATATTTGAAAGATTTTGCCAGAGCTTGCAGTGACTGAGGAATTGTCAGGTTGGTAGCCCTTATTAGGAACCTTTTTCCCCAGCTCTTGAACTTAAGCATATTGACATAGTAAATTATTGTAATTCATGCCCTCTCTAGCATACTGTCATAGAGTTTAATGAAATTATGGCAAACGAAGTGTCTCCTTCCTTTGTAATGACATGTAAAATTAATGTATTAAATTTTTGCAGCACGGTAAAATAACACATTTTCTTTCCTTCCATGAGTTATTCTAGGCCGGATCCAAAAGTGCTGAGCAAGGGTTTCGTTCATTTTGGCAGATCCTGCTGTGGTGGGAGCTGGACAGACAGGAAATGCAGGCCTCTTAGCTGATTCACAGAACAAATTTGGCCTGTGATTCTTCTTTGGCTTAGTAGAGATGTCTTTCTGACTCGGTATAATTGGTGGTGCTCCTGGGTGTTGTGAAGAGGGAGGTACCAATGTCTTGAACGTGTGCAAAGTAGCATAGCCTCCTGGGGGAGTGGCTTGACTGTTGGTCTGGTTGTGTTGCACCATTGTGGGAACACTGAGCAAGGGAACACAATTTTTTGAGGCTACTTCTTTCACTTTATCTTATCAGGTCTACTGGACTGTTTTTCCCTTTTTGTCTTTTAGATTTGGCAAAGCCTCCAGTAAATGAACCGAGGGAACCGGAACAGTTTCTAATGCAGGCGCCCCAGGGAAATCCACTGCTGCTTTCCCACACCCTACAAGAGCTATTGAGCAAGGATAGTGTGCAGGTGGAGCTTATACCCGAGAAGAAGGGCCTTTTTCTGAAACATGTGGAATACGAGGTTTCCAGCAAGGTAATGTGAACAAGCATTGGTCTTAAGAATGTCTGTGCAGTTGCTGTTGGCAAAGTCTTTTCTAATGTGATAGATGTCTTGGGTGATGCTGGTTTTGAGTAGGCCAGTTATATGGGCTTACTCTAAATGCAGGAGCACTATACCTTCTTGGCCTGGGCTTATGCAGTGTCTTCTAATTGAGGTCTGATGGATGGTCTGCTAGTTTACTTGCTTGAAACCTGAGCTCAGTACAAAAGCAGATGTATAACATGGAAAATCGAATGTTTGCATAACGGATTGGTATAGGCGACTGGATATTTCAAGCTATTTTGAGCTAGTGAAGAGATCGTATTGACAGTGCTAATCTGAAATCCTTTCTAAATAGGAAAGGTACTGCAAAAAGTTCTGCAGAGTCTGGGCCACTTCCAGTTTACTTGCCCCAGTCCTGACCTGTAGGTTCCTCTCGGTGTAAGAGAAGATTGAAGATGATATATCTTTTCCTATTTATAGAGCGGCCAGTGTAATTGCTCTCCAGTAGCTTCTGTGTGGTTTTTCAGGAAGGCAATTGGTCCTCTTCAAAGTAGACCGTGAGCAATTTACATCTCCCAGGCCACTAAAACTTCAGTTATTGAGTAGTGTTCAAGCTGTTGTAGTCACTGTTGTACGTATTCACAGACACATTTGGGTCACTTGTCTGTAGTGACGTTTGGGGCTTTAGGTGTTTTAGGTTGATGTCTGTAAGTTTGACAAAGACTTTTGTGAGGGGGAAAGAGCAGACACAGTGAATGCTTCTGTGGGCTTTCTTGGTCTCGGTGTTTATTATTGCCTGTGATTTCAGGGCACAAGACTCAGTGATCCTGGTGGTGTCTCTAGATTTTACTTTAGGAACCCATTGCCAATTCCTTTCAGTTGCTGTCACCTCTCTTACAGTTGTAGTTGTACAACGATACTTCCTCAGAAAGAAGCATAGCTTGGCCTTGAGCTTCATCAAAGATCCACAACACCAAACCAACATCAGATTTCAAAGCAGACAGAGGGAGGCCTGAGGGGCTCTGTCTCTTGTGCTCCAGTTATATGCCTCATTGCTTTATTTTTGAAAATGCATAGTGCCACAGTAAGTGGTGGATGATGTGCAATGCAAACGTAGTGAGAATGAGTATAGTGTTGTATAGTCTTTCTTATTAGCTGCTCCAGTAATTGAATCTGTAGTAATTGGGTGTGCAGGGTGTGTGTGTGTAGAGGTTTTATTTGTTATTTTTAAAGGATTTCTGCCTCTTAAGCGTCTTGTTCTAGCTGCTACCTAATTCCTTTTGGAATGAAAAACCAGTTTCTTTGGCCTCTTCTACATATTGATGTAAGAAATGCAGAGTGAAGGACTAAGGTTTTAAAGGAACTTTCAATCTTTGTTTGTAGATCTAACATCAGTGGGAGGTCTCTTCTCTCTCATGAGTTTCACTTGAAACATCGGTCATTTGGGCTATTCCTTAACATGATCTAAGACTTTTGCCACCGCTGGATTTGAAACTGATTTAGAGAATGTTCCTAAGAGCTAGAGCTCAGGGACTTGGAGTACTTCAGGAAGAGAGCTCTTTAGAGCACTTTAAGAGTGTTGACACTGTTTCTAAGTGTTCTGTCTAATTTGGAAGACCAGAGAGTTTGAGGGAGTAATGGTATGGAACCACAGCAGATTTAGGGATACTTGTAATTTCTTGGGAAATCTCTTCTTCTCCATTTCGTAGTCTCTTTCATATTTTGTGTGAATGAAATCTGACATAGGTTTTTAGCTGAAAATCTTACTCTCAAAAGGACTGTAGTTAGAAGAACACCATCTCTATTCTTAATCAAAAGGTCTGGAGTTTTCTCCTTCCTTTACACCACAGGGCCTCTAAAGAGAAGAAATATGTCGTTTCTGCAGTCTCTGGGTCAGATTTCTATCTTTTCTTCCTTTTATTTTTAGTGCAATTGATAGCAAAAAAAAATTACGGAAATGCTGCTGATAGTCCAGCCTGTGTATTGATTTATCCTCCCCCCTTCCTTAATTGCAGAGATTCAAGTGCTCAGTGTACAGGCGATACAATGATTTTGTGGTGTTCCATGAGATGCTGCTTCAGAAGTTCCCGTATCGTATGGTGCCGTCACTTCCACCAAAGAGGATGCTGGGAGGTAAACCTGGGTCTTTCTTTTGACTAGAGGGGTTGCGGGTGCAAGCATGATCAAGGTTTCTGCTTGGCCTCAACTGTGAGGTTGTAATACATAATTTGGAGGTGTGAATTATTGCCATCCTAAAAATTCCCTATACGAAAGATATTAGTGTAAAATTTCAGTGGGGTTTCTTTCTGTGGAAGTGCAGTATCTAATGACTTTTCTGGTAAGATTTGAGGCGTAATTCTACACAAGAGCTTGGCAGGGTTGCAGGTATTGTTTTTTAGGAAAATAGGTTACAATAATCAGTGCTGTAGTGCTATGAGTGTAGAATCACTACCATACTGTTGAACAGCTGTAGTATGTATTGTGGAGGTGTTTTGTGAACAGAAAAGACTTGTAGAAATCCCATTGTTTTTCTATAGCAAGAAAAGAATAAAGATTAAAAATCTATATTAAAAGCCTTAAAACCGCAGAGGAGCTGATTGTGTAAAACCAGCAAAATTGCCTCTTCAGTGAGAGCATGCTGGGTCCTGTTGAGTTAGTGTAGGGTCCTGACCTCACACGCACACTTAAAAGGCACTAGTGAACAGCGATGTTAAGTGAACAGCTTCAGCGCTGTCTATTCTAGTATTACCTGGCACAGAAGCCTTGTGATGCAGGCAATGGTAATTACACTTTCTCAGTTTATGTACAAAAAGGTGTCTTTCTGGCAGATGAACCAACTGCCTTAAAGTAACTATCACCCTTTCCCCCTCACCCACACCCCCACACCCCCCCGTTCTAAAAAGGAGCTTGTTCATCTGCTTAGGATAACCAGAAACTAAAAACTGAGGCTGGAATCAGGGTGTCAGTTCATTCAAGTATATTTTAGCTGTTAGAATAGAAATCAATGAAGTATTCCAAGACTGAAAGCATATCAAAGCTCTTTCAGGTACGTTTCCCACTAATCTGAAATATTATATTGGCACTGGTTTTAAACTTTTATTATTTCAAATGTTGCATATCTGTATAAAATCCTGTCTTGTTTTCTACTTTATCTGTGAAAGAACAAGCTTTTCACTGCCTTGTCTCCTGCCCATGCTGCTAAGCTTTATGTGTTTCAATAAATAATTGATTTCAGTCAAGGAGTCCATGTATTGCTACAGTAAAGAGGAACTGGTAAACAGTGAGCAGAGTGGGGTGTGAGTGCACTGGAACAAAGCAAAATAATAGTGCTGAAAAGCTTCAGTGGTTGTCTATGCTTATGATGGAATGTAAATTGTGAAGACCTTTCTTTTGGGGTTGCGAAAACCTGTCTGTTGAATTTGACCCGATTCAGTGTTCTCAGCCAGAATTTCCAGAATTTCCACTTCATGCAACACCTGTAGGCACAGTGACCTCTGGTTAATCTCAGTGGAGAGAGGATACTTGAAAGAAGTTACCAATATGCATAATTTGCCAGTCACTGTTATTTCCTTGCATTGCTAGTGTGTTGATATTTCTGTGTATTCACCGGTGCATTTCATCCCACAGATATCATATGTTTAAGAAAAAAATGATAGGATTAGTTTCCAAACTGTGCTAGGAATACAGTCCTAATACAGTCCAAAACTGTGTTAAGGCAGAGAGTGACGATTGCCTTTAATCCAGTGACTCTGCGTACAGAAAAGCTGTGTAAGTGATCTTAACAGAAACTACAAACAGGAAAAAGGAAATTGGATGGGTAGTTCTTGTTTCTGAGCAGGTTAACGGGCTGACAAATGGAATTGCAGGACACGGGTTTTGATGGATTAGTATAATGTGTGACTTTTGCAACCTCCTTAGTCCCAGAGTCAGATGGGCAAAGCTATGTGCTTTTTGTACTTGCTATGCTCCTCTACTAAGTTACACTCTTACTTTCATGATGGTCTACTTTCATCTGTTGGCCAGATGAAGAAGGATTGATAGTCTGTTCTGCTCATTTTAGAGGACAGCAGCAAAGTGAGGCAGATCATGTAGGAAGTGTGTAGATGACTTCAGAAATCTCCATGTAGGCTAAAGTATGAGCAAAGCAAAATCAAGATCTGCAGCCCTAATGATTGAAAAATCATGTGATGGGTGTACTGTACTAAGGATCATTATAGAGAGTCCATGCAGCCAGCAACCTCCCTACTTAAGGCTGGGGCAAAAGAGTAATACCCTTTCATGATACAAAAGTGTTGCATGGATAAGTGAATTCCCTTAATTTTTTCTGTGCTTTCTTTTCCTTCAAATTTATTTTAGTTTAATTTTTCATCTTTCCTGAAAAGACTCCAGGGTGTTTTGGTTTGTGGTTTTTTTTTTTTTCCTTACTGCAGTATCACCAGATTGAAATTCTTCCTGTTTCAGGAAGACAAACTGAACTTTTTTAGTTTGACCAGTAAGGACTCTGTGTGGATGTACTGCAGGTTGCTGTGCGGGTCTTCCAAAGTACATTACGATATCTTGCAGGAAAAAGATGGGCACTAATCTTGAACAAACAACGCCCCCCACGCCCCAATCCCCTTTATTCTCTCTAGTCCCAAAAAATGCTTTAAAGTGTGGTGGAGGGACACTTGAGGGTACAGCACACTGAAGCTAGTTCTTCAGAATAGTGAGCAAAAAAACCCCATAATTATTTGTGGGATGATCACTTTGCAAGTGGCAGTGATCTTTGCAGTGGCAAGAAGCAGTGTGTTGTGCATTGCCCAGGAGTCCCAAACCCCTAAGGTCCCATCTGGGGACCAGCTATGGAATTGATTCAGAGGAAGAAAAATCTTTGTATGCCCACAGTTTGTAAGTGGAGGCTTCAGGCCTTGGTTGTTTATCCTGCTTACCTGACCCACCCTGTGAAAATAAACACACGTAGATATATGTGCTAGATTTCAATAAGACGTAAAGAACCACTTGAAGGAATATTTGTTCTGGTGGTGAATCCAAAAGATCTGTTTTAGGGAGCTGACAGACTACAGGTAATCGTTCTTTCGTTTCATTGCAGTGCTTTAGCAAGGGTAAAAAGTACAAAGAAATTATCGGACTGAGCACTTTCTTTTTTCTCTTTCTGAGCAGCTGTAATATGTGGTGCATTAATTAATTGAAATTTAATGTTTCTTCCCATAGCTGATCGAGAATTCATAGAATCTAGGAGGAGAGCGCTGAAGCGTTTTATAAACCTGGTGGCTCGACATCCCCCTTTCTCGGAAGATGTGCTCTTGAAACTCTTTCTGTCCTTCAGTGGCTCAGTGAGTACTGGTTAGCAATAGTCTTGAGTTTGCAGATCTTCCTGTATCTGCTTTGCTGGGCACAGAGGTCAGAATTGCTTTTGACCTATGCATTGTTGCTCCCTGTGATGAGGAGATTTTTCTTTCAATAGGTATTGCTACAGCTGGAAAGTGGAAGGTAATTTCACTCAATGCCAGGAGTATAGTATTTTGAAAATGATAACTGTTCTTAGGGGAATACATGTTATGCTTCTCCTTGCGTTAAACCTAACCTGGGTAAAGCTATAGCTGCTAAGCTGTGCCTTACTATTGCAATATATCTGAGACCTGTGTGAACTGCCTGTGCGTTACTTGGTTCTTTCATGCTGATTTGTTTCTGTATGTTCTCCAGGATGTACAGAATAAGCTAAGAGAGTTGGTCCAGGGAGTCGGAGACGAATTTATGACCTGCAGATTAGCTACCCAGGCCAAGGTATGTATATGAATTTCTTGCAACATACTATTCTGGTTTAAATGGCTCTCTCCTCCAGGTGCATCAGTTATGGCTTTTGTTGAGTGATGGAGGCCTTAGGTAGGAGTTGTTTCCAAAGTTTGAAGGACTTTTAAACTTCTAATTTTATCTGAAAGATCAAATAAATATTTGACTCTTAAGGGCCTGATATTTCCAGCTAAATACTAGTTCATGAATATGATAGAGATTAAACAATGAATCCTGCTCAGAACATGTTTCTCAGTAATTACTTGTACTTGCATAACAAACAAATGCACATACAGCACAATTTAAAAGCTAATACCTAGATGGATGTCTTCCCCATGTGTTCATGCCCTCATTCTGTCTGTTGTCTTCTCCTTGTGGGAGAGTAATTTGGACTGTTACAGGGAAGTTAGTTGTAAGTTCTCCATATATCTGTTTATGCCAGTGATTAGTGCTATAGCAAGTTTTAAATATTCACTGTGTTCATTGAGAAATATTAAAGCAAGTTGTTGTTCAGGTTCCTGCAATGCTAGCAGAAGGTTTTGCAACTGGAGCTTAATTCAGGCTTTTACAAGTGATGCACAGGTCAAAAAGAGCTGAACTTTCAGTACGTGCTTGACTCTGCCGGGCTGGCAAGTTACTAGTAGCTTCAGATCAGAACCTGTGAGCTTGAAACCTCACAAACCCTGTTTTAACTGCACAGTAGAACTGCAGATTTTGCCCACTCTGTCTTCGCCCAGGATTTGAACCTCTTTTTGCCTCTGAAAATTAGGGGTATTTGTATGACATCTGACTTGGACATCTAAATTGTGAAGCTAATCTCTTCAGGGTTGTTACAGCATGGAGTGAGAGAGCGAGCGCAAGAGGGGAACCTCTCTCTCTCTCTGCTGGCTGTATGGTGTGCCCACAATTAATGTGTGTGAATGTGCCTCTGATTTGTCCACGAGTAATCTCTCTTTCACTTCTTCAGGACTTCCTTCCAGCTGACATACAGGCCCAGTTCGCTGCCAGCAGGGAACTGATCAGAAATATTTATAATAGCTTTTATAAGCTTCGGGACCGTGCGGAGAGGATAGCTTCTCGAGCCATTGATAATGCTTCAGATCTTCTCATATTTGGGAAGGAGCTAAGGTAGGTTGGGAGGAAGAGGATTTGCAATGTGAATGTTTCTACTGTTGTTTCAGAACTCAAAACTGTTGTAAGGTTTACCTGCAGATGGTCGGGTGAGAATGGGTATTTCAATTCACGCTGTAGGTCATAATAAAATTGTTTCTACTATAAAATAAGAAAATGCATGCTTCCCACTAAGGTTGCATTCTGTAGAGCAAGAGAAAAGAAAATACAAATACCTTGACATTCAGGTACTGGTTTTATGGTCTCTTCCCCCAATATATACACAGCTCTGCATTTGTGATTGTGCAGTAGTAGCTCAGCACTATTTACACAGATTTGAAACTTTGAACTGCTCTCTGTGAATAAGTGTGTCTACTAAGTGGAGTTTGTCTCCTAGATTTGAATTCTACTTATCTCCTCCTAGTGCTTTGGGCTCAGACACTACGCCGCTTCCTTCATGGGCTGCTTTGAATAATAGCACATGGGGGACTCTGAAACAAGCCTTGAAGGGTCTGTCTGTTGAATTTGCACTACTGGCAGATAAGGCTGTGCAGCAGGTGAGTCCTTCACTTTTTCCTTTTTTTTTTTTTTTTTTTTTTTTTTTTTTTTGTAAAATGAAGGAGGTGAATTGCTGCCTTCGTTTCATCTTGAATCATGAGCTCTGTGGATGTAGGCACTTGGAGTTAAGAGGGAGATGAGATTGTAGTCCAAACTCACATCCTCAACCACCAGCCTGCTTGTTCAAGCTTGAATGAAAAACTTGGATTGTGTTTAAAAGGGAAGAAATACAACAGGCAAGGGAAAGGTGGGAAAAGCCTGCTTTCTTTTTTAATTTCAAATGGTTATTGGACAATTCAAGTTGTACTACTGTACTGAGCTGTCCAAAAGGCCTGTGTTCAGTCTGATTAATCTGCTCCAGAAGGACTTCTTTCTGAATCCAATTTTGACCTTCATGTGCTTAAACATTACATGAGAGTCATTCAGACAGAAGCATCATATTCCTGGGTAAGTGTGCAGTGTGATAATGACTGTTAGAATAATGTGAAAACGTGACAGTCTGGGGAGGGAAAGTAATAGTTTTGTCTTCTCTTCATCTCATTGTGTTAAAATACTCAGCATGCTTTTATAGATTAGTCAGACCAGGTCTTTTGCTCCAGAGTTTATACTGCAGAACTCTTTTGATACAGGAAGAAAAGACAGTATTTAGTAAAATAAAAAACAAAGTAGTGTAATTTTGGCTTGATGTCTCACCTCTGCCTTCTGATGCATGAACCGTTATGGGGAATATGCGGGTATTTATAGCTTTAACGGATTAGTTATCTTGTAAGAAGGGAAGATGAAAGATTGGAGGAATCTGCAAGAGCAAGAAATTCTAGGCAGAGAGAGCTGAAAGGACTGACACACAGGACTGTGAAACTAGCTCCTCTTGTTGTAGTGATCAGTCAGTTGGAAAAGCTGTTCCTGCTCCAGTCAGATCTTTGTTCTGCGTACTGAAGACTAAACACTCCAGTGCCATCTGAAAGATTTTTTGATGCCGTTGCGTAAGCATTGGTGTGCCCTGGAGAATACAGTGGAAGGCCTGCATGGTGTGAGGATGTGAAGAACTGTGATGTCTGTTCTTGCCAGGCTTACATAAAATGTACTTTTTCCTTGTTTTCTAGGGTAAACAGGAAGAGAATGATGTGGTGGAGAAGCTGAACCTTTTCCTGGATTTACTCCAGTCCTATAAAGTGAGCTTAGCTGTTCTTCTGCCAATGAGAAAGTTGTTTAGAGCAAGCTTGTGCTCTTTAGAGGGTGTAACGCCAACTGGATGGAAAACTGTCTGGGAGGCCAGTTCAGAGGCGAACTGGGCATCTGGCAGAGGGAGGGGAGTGGCTATTGGCCATAGTTCTGTAGTCTTACTGGTCAGCTCATCCTCTGATGAGAATTTGCCAAACAGCAAACCCTGCAAGGAATTTAAAATATAACTGCTTGAACTACATGGATCAGCTGACCTTTTTTTCTGGATTTGGCTGCTTTTGAGTCAAAGCAGTGAATTAGATGGCTACTGATTTGATCATGCAGTTGTGAGTTTAGCTACAAATGAAAGAATTTTTGTTCATACTAATCTTTTGGTCAAAGGCACTTTTTTTTAGAAGCACCTGCTGAAACTATATGTGACAGCCTGTCCTGACATTCCCAGGCCTGGACTGAAATAGAAGGACACTGGAAAGCTCTTAGCGCAGCTTAATTGCCAGCACTTAATTGCCAGCACTTAATATTGAGAAGGGCACAAAAGATAAGAGGCCTGATAAGATCCAAAATGTTGGCAGAAGTGATTGCTCCAGATTGCCTCTTAAACTCACTGGTCTGGGTCCAAGCAGTTTTGTTTCTTGAATTCTTAGCTGCCAACATTTTTTTTGACCCTCTTGAAAACAAAGAAACACAAATCTGCAGCGCAGAAATTACATAAAGTGTGACTATGTATTTGTTTTTCTGATGTACTTGGCTTGCGTGCTTGCTGTCTCTTAGCTTCCACTAAGTACCTGTTTTTTCCTTTTCCCATAAAGGACCTGTGTGAAAGACATGAGAAGGGGGTATTGCACAAGCACCAGCGAGCATTGCATAAGTACAGCATGATGAAGAAGCAGATGATGAGTGCCACCGTGCAGAACAAAGAACCAGAATCGGTGGAGCAACTGGAGTCTCGGATTGTGGAGGTAGGGCAGATGCCTGGGAGAGCAAAGGGTGGTACTGGACTCTATAATGGTGCCGCTATGTAGCTCAGACATATTTGCAGAAAGCCATAAGACTGAAAGGGTAACTTGTACTTTGGGTAATTTGAGCTACCTGCTGTGCTACAAGGAAAATGCATTTGTTTTCCTCCACACTTATTACTGGCTATTAGGCAACATGTCATTTGCAGGAGCTGTGGAAAGCAACAGTCTGCCTGATGGAAAGTGCAGTTGTTGTCATATCAGATGGGTCAGGAACTGCCTTTTTAGGTTTTTGGTATGTGTTGGAATTGCTAGCATGGCGAGGAATGCTGTTTTCTCCTGCTACAAGTGAACCTCCTTGGCACCCTCTTCCTGGCAATGTATTTCACTGAGTTCCTCTTCTTTCAGCAAGAAAATGCCATCCTAACCATGGAGCTGCGGAATTACTTCTCTCTGTATTGCCTGCATCAGGAGACACAGCTTATCCACATCTATCTGCCTCTCACGTCTCACATTTTGGGGGCCTTTGTCAACTCCCAGATCCAGGGTCATAAAGAGGTCAGTTCTTTTGGACTGTATTCTTTTTCCCAAAATATGAATGTGAATGTATTTGTTTTCACCCATGGGCCTTCCTCCTCTAATCACCTTGTCCAGCTGGGCTCTTTTGTAACTTCTTAAGAAGTCATCAAAGGTCTTTCCAATTTGGGGTGAGGATCAGGGCTGGCCTCTAGCCCCTCTAAAAGACTGTATCTTCTTGCAGCAAGTTGCTGTGTCTTTCTTCTTTTCTTCTCTCATCTGCAGGTGGCCTTACCCTACAGGTAGCTGAAGAAGACTCAACCATTAAATAACTCGCTGTTCTGTAATGGATGATGTGTGTTCGCTAGATGAATCTGTGTTTTGTTGTGCTACACAGAAATTACGTGACAAGGAACAACTTCCTTGTTTTTGCTCTAAATCTAAGAGCTCCCTTTTGTAACCCCTAAATACGACCTTCAGCATTCCCCATGTACAGACCTTCTTGCATCCGTTGTATCTGAAAAGTCTGTCCTCCTCCAGCTCCCTTCCTTCCCTTCAGTGAAGGAATTTGACCAGGGTATGGGACATCTCCCTTCCATGCAGTCTGAGTAAAATGCTCAGAGAGCTGCATTACAGCACCAGTCTAAAAGGGACAATTTGGCTCCACCGGACTTCCCCAAAGTACTTCAGCCCATTTGTGTTGTGCTTTTGAGTACTCTGAAACGGTAGCTAAAACACAGTGTGGTGAGATGATTACCTGCCGTGTTCTCATGTCTGTTTTCTCTCCTTTTCCACTCACAGATGAGTAAAGTTTGGAATGAATTGAAGCCGAAGTTGAGCTGTCTCTTCGTGGGATCTAGCAATATGCCAACTCCACCGTTGTCACCTCCAGAGGGAAACTTCTTCTCCAATTAATGCTCTGAGCATCTAGCATGGAGCAAGAAGTGCAATCAAGGAAGGGGTGGGACTTCTACCTCCAGATGTTAGAATGAATCCTCCAAACAGCTATTGTTTTTTTTATTTTTGTTTTTTTTAATACTGCTGCTTTGAGCTGCTCTCTGATTTAGGCAGACTGGATGTGGGGCAGAACTTAGGGATACAAAGACAGTCTCTTCATTTTGAAGTGCTCTGGGGCAGAGCTAGTGTTCATTATCCTGCAGACACTCTTTGTGGGGTCAGGTTGTGACCTGGTGCAGTCAGTGCTGCAGTGTTGTTGCTGATGCCTTTGTGTTTTGTACTAACAGTTCTCTGATAATGTTTATCTGCACACATGCTGACACATCTCTGCACATCTCTGAAGTGCTGAGATGACTAGGATACCTGAAGCACACTCTTATAGTAGAGGTGGATTGTCTTTTAAGCTTGGGAGGGCCTGTGTTAGGGACATATGTGCATAAGGAAAGCTGAAAGCCATCCCCCGTCCCATGGATTTGATTTCTCCCTGCTGGACCTCAGCACAAAGTATCTGAATGAAGTGGCTGGATTTGCTAACCCAGCTGGGTAGGGTCAGTGCTGCTGAGTGACAGCCATCTCCCCAGCGAGGCTAGGCAGGCTGTATTGTCAGGGTCTTTGAGTTCATGGCTGTAGGGCAGCCTAAGGACTTGCTCATATTTTTCAGTTTGGGGCCAAAGATGACTGAGTTCAGGAACTCAGGGGAGTTTGCCTGGTATAGATGAGAAAATAATTGAATAAAACACTCCTTAGTTGTAAAGCACTCATCCTATACCAGCAGAACAGCTACAAGGTAGCTTATTTGTTTTCTTCTGGAGGTCCTCACAACCGTCTAAGTAGCTGTTTAGGACTGTTGGAGAGCTGCTGACCCAAAGGCTGGTGTTTTCTTGGGCCTAACATCAGGTGAAATATCCTGTTACACCAGCAGGCTGGGACACAATGCTGATAAAATTCATTAGCAAAAACCCCAGTATTTATCAGGAGGTAACTGTCATTCTCTCTTTTTTTGTTGTTGTTGTTTTTGTTTTTGTTTTGTTTTTCTGGCTGTGGGTAGCATTGGATTGTGTTTGTGAAGGAGAGAAGACAATTAAGTGTCAGTTCTTCATCTCTCTAAAAATAACACGGCCCTTGGTAATGGGGTTTTCAGAACGATTTGTGATTGTGATAAAGGGACTAAACATTCTCCATGTTTCACTTTGTATCTCCAGTGACTTTCCCTCACGAGGCAAAGGGTAGGGGGAGGAGAACTTGCATGCCGTGTTACCTTGGGGGAAATTGTGCATATCCTCCAGAGAAACTGATAAGTGAAGAAACTGCAAACGTACGCAGCAAAACTCTGTGAACAGGACTCCCTTGAACCGAACTTCTCTGGGGCCAAAATAGCTGCCAAGGGGGAATTTGAGACTTGGCCTCTTAGCTTTTTCTTTGAGTGCATAAAAAGGAAGCACACTAACAAGGATGAGTGCTTGCAGTCGAACTGGAACCGTTACAGTATTTTCCCATTGGGGAACTTCCCCATTAGCAGGAAATATATTTAAATCCTCCAATCATAAAAGCTTGCTTTTTTTTTTTTTTTTAAATTTAGAAAATTCAATGAAATGTTAAGCTCTTCCTAGCCCAGGTGGAAATTGTGGGTTAATTTCTTCAGCTAGGAACAAGCTAATACGTTACTTGCCCAGTTTCATGAGACTGGCATAACCATTACACGTGCCCCTGAAAACGCGGTGAAGTACACTTACGTGGGTGAATTTCTTGAGTGCTGGGCCTTGAGGAGTGTGTAGGGAGTCTATGTAACAACCTTGCTCAGAATGCATTATTAAGAGCTTTTTATAGCAATTCAAATGTTAACTCCCTTCTGAGTCTTTCCTCCTTCGTGTTGGCCTTGTCCAGTGAGACAGATTAACTGCAAATGGCTGTGACAGATTTGATTCTCTCTCCTGAAGATTTCTAAAGTGATGCAGAAGAGCTTCTGCTCACAGGCCAGAGCAATCTGGCTGTGGAGGGAAATCTTTCTACAGTACAGTAACAAAGAAGATGATATCTCAAAAATGGCATGAAAGGGTTTTTCTGCTTGACCCTTTCTTGATTAGGAAGATAGTTTGTGGTTACAGTGCGGAAAGTGTGACACTGTATTTTTAAATGCTCTTTGCTCCTAGCATCTTTAGAAGGTGCTAGTTGGTTACAGACTGTCATTTGCTCAGTCTTAGTACCCACCTTCCTGTGTTTGCCTGATATAGTGAAGAGTCAAATTGAGAAAATACTGTATGTTTTGGGGCAAGGTCTGATATGTATATGATGGATCTTCTATGTAACTTGCGTGCCTGGGGTAGATGACCAGGCTATGTTCTGTAGGAGCACTTGCAAAGTATTAGCCTGAATGGAACTTTGGACTTCTCACATTTAGAAAAAAAGTTACAATTTTGGACTTTATTTAAAAACAAAACCCAAAAACCCAAACATCAAAACCACGTTTGGGCTTTAGACTAACTCCTCTTTGCTGTTCTCCTTCAAAGCAAGAAGTCTACAATCCAAATGCAGAGACTGTAATAATGATAAACACAGACTGCAGGACCTATAAAGAAACTGGAATTATGTTGTCTTGAGAAAACACCCATTCCTCCATTGTCAGCCCTTGCCAGTTTGGGGGTGGGGTTTTCTTATTTTGATTTTACTCTGTTCACTTAGTATTTCGAGAACAGAGGCTTAGTATTCTCGAAGCTGATACAGCTAATGGCACTTTCAGAGTTTATTTCATACTGGACTGTCAAGCCTCTGTCTCATTCCTAAACACACACATACACTATTTCATACAATCCTTAGTTTGCAAACCTTATTTTTGGGAGACTGGTCAGTGTGCAAACAGTGCTATTATGTTTACCTCAGTATGTGAGGGATTTCCTGACTGTGTGTGTTCTGTTTAGTTTAGGTATCTGTCAGACTTGGAGAGCAGCATCAAGTACAGCTTCCTTTAGAGGAATGCAGCAGGGAATCGATCATCTGCCTACCCTAGTCAACGTAGGCGAAGGAGTTCTAGTTACCTCCCTGCTGTCGCCTTCTGCAGCGAACAGCCTAACTATATGCGAGGGTGAGAGCAAGGCTTAACAAAGTTGGTTCCGTTGCTGGTAGCTGGGTAGGTTACAATAAACACTAAACAAACCAGAAGACTTAAGTGCAGAGTGCATGCTGCCTGTCCAAGGACTGATGCTCCTGTAAGATGTAGCGCCAAAGAGTTAACGTGCCTTCTCGAATGGAAGCTTTCTGTGTATTGCTTGAGCTCGTGGGGACTTACATGTGTTCAAAATAGTAGCGATAGAAAAGGCCTCCAATCATTCTGTCAGTGTCGCTCTCAAAATCTGTCGTGGAGGTACCAGAGTAGTGAACAGCTGAGAACCTGGAACTTTGCCTGAGAAATGTTTTGTCAAAAGGGCTATCTATATGGTTTTGTCACTCCAAGGTCTCCTCTGCTTCAAGCTGTGAAGTGGCAGTATACAGGCTTTTTGACCAGCAGCATGTGTTGAAAGGCTTTCCAAACTGTATTTACGATACAACCTTAATCTTTGATCCTTCTTTCCCTCTCCTTCCATCTTCCTTGCAAGTTGCTCCTCCTAAGCGGTAACATGTTTTCAACAGTGCCTTGCTGCATTCCAGTGCTTTTACTCTTCTACTTTGATCATGCAAGGGTGTAATTCCTGGAATTTGTAACAGGCTAATTTACAATCTTCACTTTGTGCTGTTTCCTAAAAGATAAAAAGATCACCAGCTGGGGACAGAACTTACTTAAAACATGTCAGTCTCCACGAGTGCAGCAGGAGCAATAAAGTCACTACTCTTAGACGTGAGCTAGAAGTCAGTGCTTATCTTCATAGAAGGATTGAACTGACTTCAGAGGGGCGGGGATAGCAAGTAGAAGTGCAAGCCTGAGCTGCACTTGTTCTTTTCCTACCTAAACTCCTGGAGGAACAGAAAGTCATTTGCTCTCTCTCGCCATGCAATTTACAGTTTCCACCAGGAGATAAATCAAGATACTGAACAGGTATCAGCGGCCAGCCGCTCCCTTTCCTACCATGCAGTAAGGTCTTGCAACCTGTTACAAGCTGCCTATCCCCTTGTGCTTATTTTCTCCTCTCCTTGCCTCAAGCCATTCTCTCCATTAGAACGGCCAGAAACCCTTACTGCTGCGTCGGAAGCAGAGACAAGTGTCAAAACTCCTGTAAATAACTCAGTGTGCAGCACAAAAGGAAGAGTCTAAGGTGTTAACTCTTATCCTCTCAACTCCGAGCTGTGGCTTACTGAGCATATAAAGAAGGGCATTTTTGAATGGTATAAATTATTCAGAACTGCTGGAGGGAGACAAGAAACAATCTTGTTCAGAGGGTGTGAATTTTGCCTGCCTGGAATATCCTGTATCTTTGCTTTGCTCAAATAGCCTTATGTATGAAGCACTTTATCCAAATGCAGGAATTAAAGAACTATTACTACAGCTGGTAGACTGGAAATGTTTACAGATCCTATATTACATTCCAAGATTCTATCTGTAAGTGTTATATGTGTTTGTAATAGTGTTTAAAAAAAAAAAAAAAACCAAACCCAAAACTTGTGTAAGAAGTTACATATGTGATGTGTTATTTCTAGCGCAGTTTGATGAAGTCTTTGGTGCCCAGTATGCTGAGTTGGGCTGACGTGAATGCTGAACAGGTCACCTGCTACCACCATGTGGCAAAGCCGGCAGCCATAGGTGACTACAACTCGCAACGTGGACTTGCTGAAAGTTGATTTTGTTGAGCATATTTTTAGCTGAAAAGCTCAAAACAGTTCAAGTTCACGGCAGGAGCTGCAAGAGTGAAAGCGGGGCTCGAACAGTGCCATACATCTGCCTCTGGCTCTTGTTTTCTTAACTCCTATAACCTTACACTTCAGCTGGAGAATCCTGAAGGGATCTCTACCTAAAATTTTCAAAAGGCTTTCACAGCGCTGGTCAAGCCTCACCTTGTCCCAGGAAGGAATGCTGAATAGGGAACTGTCTAAGAACTGCCATAGCGAGCATAATTGATTCCGCTGCATCACAGTCCACTTCAAGGCTTGGTGAAAGGAAGCCAAGTCCCGAAAGGCCTTTAAACAGTCTAGAAGGTACGCAGCTGTTTACAACAGAACAAATCACAGTCCACTTCAAGGCTTGGTGAAAGGAAGGCCTTTAAACAGTCTAGAACGTACGCAGCTGTTTACAACAGAACACCACATGCTTTTACTAAAAAATACTTTTAATCTTTTAAAAACATTTCTAGCCCCAAGGGAAAAGCCTGAAAAATTAGCTACCTGAAAAAAAAGGATTAACACTAAGTTTTTAATAGTTGTGATCATGTAACCACTAAAGTATACCACAGCCAGGGACTTCACAGCATGCAAAATCTCGTTACTTTTATTTCTGCTCTAAGAAACCCCCTTATTTTCCTTACTTCCCAGTGACCTGGCAAATAACTCTTTGCTGGAGAGCTGGGGAAGGACACCCTTACAGTAGTACTCATGGTGTTCTAGCCCAATGTGGGCGGCAGCGCGTGGGTTGGATACTTCCGGTTCCTTAAACTTCCTCCACTTCTTTCAGGGTGTGCTCCAGGATGGTGTCTTGTCCCTGGAACTTAAAATAGCCACGAAACAACTTTTTCTGAAGCAGCAGGGGAAACCAATAGATATCATCTGCCCACATGCGATTGAATGGCACCTCATCCAGCTGAAACCACTGTGGACGCATTTCTGGTGGGAGAAAACAGAAGAACTTTGTATGAGACTTTCTCTTTGAATATCTGTCAACAAGCAGCTTCCCTCTACAGCCCAGCTGCCTCCCTTCTTGAGGGGATTTGGGCATGAATAGTTCTGCATTTCTTAAAAGCAGTACTGTCTCAGAAGAGAATGCACATCCTTCCTTCCCCTCCACTAGTGACCTACCATCGCTTTCTGTTGGCTCTCCATGAAAATGATCTGCTCGGAAAATGTGAACTTCCATGAGTTCGGAGTTGCCCACAAATTCAAATGTGATCTGACCCATCTTCTGCAAGGTGTCCACAGTCAGTCCACTCTCCTCCAGGAGCTCCCTGCACAAGAAATAGATTCCTTTATGTGAAAGCGAGCAGCAGGAGTACAAAAAAGGCGTCATTAGCTTTACTCGCATGTTCAAAACACTTGCAGTGAACCAAAGGTGAAAGCTGCACCTGTAAAACAGAGCAGGGCACAGCCTGCAGAGCAAAGCAGAGTTCTGGTTTCCACCAAACTATTTGCTTACTTACACCACAGCAGAGCCGTGTCCAACTGGCTCGTGTTGTTTCAAGCTCCTGTTGTTTCAAGGCTGGTAGGAAAATAGTCCACAGTGGAAGGGGAAGATTCAGGAAAATTGATTGATTGGTGTAATTCACCTCCTTGCAACATGATGATCTTTTCTGAGATTAGTTATAAATGTGCAAACATACTCGTGACTGTAGCTGGCTGTGGCTTAAGACCTCTGAGATAGACTTTAGACAGGCAAAAAGCTCTGCCAACTTCAAGCTACAGCTTTTAGAATTGTGGGGAAGCAGGTAGTAAATATTAGAACATCTGCACTTGCAGCAAAATCAGCTGCTTCTGAAGCAGACTGAAGCTTATTTAAGTAATGCTACCCACTACATAACATCATTTGCACACAGAATGTTGGGAATACCAGCTCCCATTCAAATGCCATATAAAAAACATAAAGCAATTGTGCAAACTTTCCATTTCTGCTCCTTGGAAGTACATTTAGCGTAACGAGAGGCTAGAAGGCAAGACTTTGAAGAGCACTTAGACTTGCCAGATGGCTCTTTTCCATGCATCACCATGCATGGCTACTTGAAGCACATTCAATTACTTGCTCTGTTTATGCTACGCACTTAGGGCTTTTTTTTTTTTTTTTTTTTTTTTTTCCCTGCCTCTAACAGAATCAGCGTAGCTTGGAGTTGGTCATGGTTTTTCTAATGTACCAAAATAAGGGGTACTTTGAAACAGTCTATCCTCAGTTAAGGTTAATAATTAATGTAGTTGCATATTTGGCAGTACCTTAACAATTTTAAAATGTAATGGGAATGATCTTCAAGGCTCCAGCTTTCTTTGGTAACAATGTCATGAATCCCATCCTTCGAAATTTTATTCTAACTTAACGTCTCAGCTAATTTTAGTTTATCTTCCCGAGAAACTATGTCTAGAATAGAGGCAGTTTTCCAGCAACAAAGCTAAAAGCCTCATTTTACAGGCTCCGATAATTGAACAACAAAGCACAACGCTGCTATGTTTCTCCAGGCAATTTATCTGTCAGCTCTTTGGCTCTGTCTATAGTAAGGGGACACATTACAGGTAGCAAACTAGAAATGATGAACTAGCGAAATGCTCCCCTTATAAGATGTGCCACTGAAGAGCCGTGGGTGCCCAGGTGCTCACGGGAATGTGGTGTACCCAGAGGAGTATAGGAATCTTACTGATAGCGGAAACTTTTTTGTTCGTGTTTCAGTTTAATATTTAACTGTGCTGTGAGGACACTTCACACCTTATGCCACTGCAAACCCAGCTGAGACAGTGCAACGTGGAACCACAGCCTAATGTCTCAATCCGAATGCAGAGGTGCAAGTTCAGTTTGATTTGGGTTGTGCGACATTCAGGGAGAGCTGCACCTCAACGGTGGTGTTCCGCCAGGAAGGTGGGCTGCGTGCCTAGCTGGCCCTGGCTCTGGGGACTGCTTCCTGCTCAGTTGGCCTCAGCGGGAATTGGTTGTGTCATTCTGCAGTAAATTCCTACCAGCTGTGCTGAAAGGGCTGAGGATTGGACTGTTCCACAGTCCACAGCAGCAGGTGCTGGCTGTGCTGTGGTACATTGCGCTTTTATCACTTGACATCTCATATGGACTAAAGCTCTGGTTTCTAACTCCAGGCTAGCACAGATAAAGACACATCTAGGAAATCAAATGCTAAATGTGCACCCTCAGCAAATTTGCAAACAACACCAAGCTGAGCGGTGCGGTTGACACGCCTGAGGGATGGGATGCCATGCAGGGGGACCTGGACAAGCTCAAGAAGTGTGAACCTCATGAGGTTGAACAAGGCCAAGCACAGGGTCCTGCACCTGGGTCAGGGCAACCCCCTGCATCAATACAGGCTGGGGGATGAAGGGTTGGAGAGCAGCCCTGGTGAGAAGGACTTGGGGGTAATGGTGGATGAAAAGCTGGACACGAGCCAGCAATGTGCACTCACAGCCCAGAAGCCAACCATACCCTGGGCTGCATCAAAAGCAGCGTGGCCAGCAGGCCGAGGGAGGGAATTCTGCCCCTCTACTCCACTCTGGCGAGACCCCACCTACAGCCCTGCATCCAGCTCTGGGGCCCTCAGCACAGGACAAAGGAGTCCACGACAATGATCCGAGGGCTGGAACCACCTCTCCTGCGAGGACAGGCTGAGAGAGTTGGGGTTGTTCAGCCTGGAGAAGAGAAGGCCCCAGGGAGACCGGATTGTGGCCTTTCAGTACCTAAAGGGGGCCTGTAAGGAAGACTGGGACAGACTTTTTAGTAGGGCCTGTAGCGATAGGACAAGGGGTAATGGTCTTATACTAAAAGAGGGTAAATTCAGACTAGATCTAAGGAAGAAAACTGTTACAATGAGGGTGGTGAAACATGGGCACAGGGTGCCCAGAGAGAGGTGGTAGATACCCCATCCCTGGAACATTCAAGGTCAGGTTGGATGGGCTCTGAGAAGCTTGATCCAATTGAAGACGGGGTTGGACGAGTTGCACGGGGGGTGGACGAGATGACCTTTAAAGGTCTCTTCCAACCCAAACTATTCTGTGGTTCTATGATTCTGCGAAATTAAATCACGACGATTTACACCACAGTCAGTGGCAATGTAAGCCTAGCAAATGAAGGCCTGATTTAAGTAACTGATCTTCCCCCCTCGAGACGACAAATTACACGAAAAGCCACGAGGTAAGCATCAGGTACGTTAACGCCGTGCACTGCTGGGTGCACATCTGCACAGAGGACCCTTCTGTCCCCTGGATTAGCTCACCACAGAACCCAGGCGGTTGCACTGGCACAGCTGAGGAGATGGTTCAGGGCAAAAGCTGTTAGGTAGCTGTTGAGCACACTAGCATTGATCTTCCTGCAGGTGCAAGGGCAATTTCAGGCATGCATCAGAAAGTGAGGAGGTGGCAAATTGTGGCTTTGTATCAGCAACATTCATGAAAGAATGAGGTACCTAGTTTTTAGAGGAGTTTAGCAATTCAGCTGCAATCTGCCGTTTCATTTTAATGATTAGACAGAAGACAGAACTTCAAGAAATCAGTACTAAAAGCTTCAAAAATGGTACTGTACCTCTGTAGCGATGGAATTAGATTCCCTAACTCAGCATTAAGGCTTAAAAATGCCACCATGCAGTCAAATACTTCATTTTTACAGTGCCTGTCATAAGGGACCTCTGATAATTTCTAATATTCTGTGACTACATTCTCACGCAGTACTAAAAATGGTAGTGGAATGTAGCATCTGCTCAACAACTTCAAAATTTAAACAACAAGCAGAACACTGGCATAAGTTGTAATTCTGCTATACAGCCAAAACTAAACTCTGCACCTTTCTGAACAGTGCAAGAACCTCTGTCCACTACCAGCAGACTAAGTCTCAGTTTAGATCAGAGTCCAAGGGATGGGAGGGAGGGCACCCAGTAACTTCCAGTTACTCATAGACTGGACGACAGTTAAAGATTTGCACATGACAGGCAACGGGGAGCAATCCTGTTTCTTTGTACCCGTGGGCAATCGCTCGTTACCTGCGGAGCAGGCGATTTTCTCTGCTCAAAGCCGGCTCCCAACTGCACCCGTGGGTAACGCACTGGCGTTAGAGATCAGCCAAGCGGCGGTAACTCCGCCTGCTGCCCACCACAAATGGTCTGACACCTCCAGGGCCCACCCATGCCCGCCTCTCCCCGGGGCACCGGCCAAGCCGGGCCGGGCCTCACCTGCGAGCAGCCTCCTCGATGCTCTCCCCCGGCTGCACCTTCCCCCCGAAGCCGTTCCACAGCCCAGCTCCAAACCCGCGTTTCTTCATGCCCAGGAGGACGCGGGGCGGCTGCACCACCAGGACGAGGGTGAAGAGCCTGGCCGTGCACATGGCTCCTGGGCGAGACAAGGAGGGGGCGCTGCGCCAAGGGCTCCCGGCGCCCCTCAGACGGGAGGCCGGGCTGCTCCCCTGGCCCGGGGGGGGTGGAGGGAGGTTTTCACAAAACCTGGACTTGCTGCTCAGGCCCAGGCAGGCCTGATGCCCCCCAGACACCCAGCACCCCCTCCCCAAATGCCTGGTCCTCACCATCCTCGGCCCAACCCCTCGGTCCCCCAGTGCCTCCTTCTCTAACTACTGACCCTTGCTCTCCCGCTCCCCCAGCACCCC